TGGCCATGGAGTACACACCGCCCCCCAAGCCTCAGCTCTCCTCCCGGGCCAACGCCTTCTCCATCGCCGCCCTCATGTCGAGCGGCAGCTCCAAGGACAAGGAGTCCCCCGAGAGCACCATCAAGCCGCTGGGTGAGTGGCGACGGGGTGCGGGGGGGTCTCTGCTCCGTCTGGCCCTCCTTAAAGCCCCGGCCAGCCGGGGACACGCACTGGTGGGTTTGCCCAACCGAAGGAAAAGCCGCACGAAGTCTCCTCGTCACCCACCGTCGTTCCCAGGCGAGGCTGTTTTACAGGGCAGCCTGTTTCCTAAATTCCTCTAGTTTAGATAACGCCGTTTATTTCTGCGGCTTCGCCGTTCGTAGAATAATCTCGCACCCTAAGGCAGTCGCGTTTCCCTTCGCTGCTGTGAAATGAACGTCTGAAATATTTATTGCCCATCATATCTGGTTTTGAAGTAAAGTAAAAGAACCTCCGGTATCGTGCCTGGGGCTTACATGGGGTAGTAAAACTTGTCCATGGACCTGAAAATCCCTTCGCTCCAGAGCTACTCGGTGTGGGCTCATACAGGCGGTTTCACTCTTAATGGACCGGGAGGATTTTTATAGTAATTCCTTGCGATTTTCGGGTGAGAGGTTTCGTTTATATTCGGTAGTCTAAATTCGGATTCCCGAAGGCTTTTAAAAACATGAGCATCTTCCCCTCCTTCCCCCTCAATCCCTGCGGCTCGCGGTCCTTGCCTGTATCCCAGAGTTCGCAGACAACTACCAACCCCCTAAGTGTATGAAGCTTTCAGGGCCAATAAACAAGATTTCATGAAATCCTATGAGAAATGAGAAAAGGCAGCTCTCTCAGCCTCTGCTCCATCTCATCAGCCGACTCAATAGATTTCACATAGTCCAGCGTTTAACTGTAAACTTTATTTTTCAGTCTAGGCGGTAACACAGGCCAGGAGTGCCGTAGTATTCCCGCTTGAGCTACTTACACAGTCTTGTGTTAAACGTTCCTATTTTTTCTTATTATTATTTTTTCTTTCTTTCTTTCTTTCTCCTGAAAAGCTCCCTCAATGAACTTCACATGTTTTTAACTCATTGCCCCACGCCGTTCAGTTAGAAACCGGAGGGAAACGACGGCCTGTAAACTCCGCTTTTAAGCGGAGATGTGGGCGAAATCTTCCTCTGCAGGGACGGGGACACGTTTTGTCCTCCTCCCGTGTCTCGGCGGCGGCTCCATCTCCGCATCCCAGCGCGGGGCCGGGGCACAGCCCCCCCGCAACCCCCCCTGTCCTCTCCTTTA